TAGTACCCAGTTCATCCCCTACTCTCCACTGTGCAGACATTGAGGTTGTCAGCTGTGAAAACCTCAACAAAACCTTGCAGGCACATTTCCAAAAGGTCTACCAAGTCAAGCAGTATCAACACTGGTTCTGTGGCCAAACACCTGGAGTGGATATATGTTATGTGGGTTAAATATGTGCTCTCCTGTAAATAATAAATCTACTTTTGATAAAGTTTTAACCATTTTAATATAAGTACTTAAATTACAAACAAATTAGATTACATACTAACTATCTTTCTCTCTCAAAGGGGGATTCTGGAGGAGGAGTGGTGTACGAGGACAAGATTTATGGCGTCATTTCATTTCTTGGTGATCCTGACAATGTATGTAAAAAAGCAGCTGCATTCATGGATCTCTGCAATTCAGAATACATTACATGGATTCATAAAACTATTAGCTGAGGGGGAAAGAAATTCTACAGTAGCCTATGATGTGGTGAACTGTAAAGACTCTTTCATATTGACAAATATATGAGATTACAGCTCAACAAATAATTTGTGGCTCCTGTGGTGTTTTTTTAACCCTATTTGTAACAATCAGTTTTTATATTTGGATATAAAAGTGATACTCACCATCCTAAGACCAGATCATCAATCGATCTGTCTCTATACCTACGACAAAAAATAAATAAATACAGGGCCCTTGCCAGGATTTTTGAGAGAGCTGGTGTTTACACTGGCTGCACCTGTCAAATGTAAATGCAAATATTGACTTACTAACTGGTTAGAGTTGTTAAAAATATACATTTTCATGTTAATTTTATCAATGAATTCAGAAGTTCCAAACTAAGGAGTGTCAAATAAGAAAACAGTGAAAAAGTGTGGGGTGAAAGTATAGTCGATAGGCCTTATTCACAGAATATAAATGATACTAATTGCTGCAATGCTTTCCAATAACTGCAGGAATGGAGCCCTCATTAATGTTAGTTCAACTTGTCCTTTTTCTGCTATGACAAATCAAAATGTCTGCTGTGAAAAGGTCTATGAATCTGATTCATTTGGGAAAGATAAAGAAAGAAGACTGCTCTGATGCTTGCAGGGCTGATACTGAGCTGAGCGAGATTTATTCAGAAAGCAAAACAAGTCATTTTTCTTCTTTCCGTTTTTACGGTGACCACAGAGACATAAGTTGTCATGAAGGCTGTTGTGTAAGTCCTGTTGTAAACCTCTTTTCAATCTGTCTTTGTGCCTTTCTCTGTTGTTTAAAAGAATTCAGCCTGCACAATTAAAGGAAAGCCTTCCATGGTAGAACACATTAACGCCTTGTCAAATGAAGAGCGTCCCTATTGATCTTAATCTGAGCTGTCAGCCACAAGTTTTCTGTAATCATCAAGTGAAGGATAATCTGGTTTGAAAAGGCTGCCTACCTCACTGCTGCAGACCAAACGCCTTTTTAATGGCTGCTGTTTGACAAATCGCTAAGCCTCCGAGGAGGCTTTAGGGTGAAAAAAAAGAGAAATTGATTTAACGCAGAGACATGGTTCTCAGAAAAAGCTATCTATTAACACCTACTGTATGTGTAAGTTTGCAGTTTGTGCACAAAACGAGTGTGAATGTTCACTTAACATCTCAGTGAGTATAGCGTCTCAGGTTTTTAACAGTTCCATTATCCATAACTTGCTTTGACATATAGGGTCCCTCTACTTTATGTATCTATGCGTAATCTCTGTGAAGACATAATTTATATGAGCATATCCTAAGAGGGCAGCAGTACATTAACTAATCTGTTCAAGCCATGCTGCATTAACTTGCCTTTCAGGGCTTCCATACTTTAACCCCTGAAACAGGTAAAAAACTAATGTATATTCATTAAGGAACAGTCATAGGATTTATAATGAAAGATACATCTATGAAATCCTTTTGGCATTTACTGTGATCATGATAGAAATAATGAATAGAATGAGCTTTAACCCTGGTAGTCGTGGTGCTATGTGAGAACCTTTGAGCGATGCATGATTATTTGTTCCCTTATAAACACCATGCACACACTTAAACGAATAATGAGCAATGTTCCCCACATGGTGAGGAGAAAACTGTAGCCTCACCCCCATATACACCATTATTCAGTTATCCACTGTTAATCAGCGCAAACAAATAAATCAGATTGATCACTGTCCTGATGTCTTGCCCTCTAGGAAAGCAAAGTGAGACAGATGATGATGTAGCAGATGGTAGAAATGCACTCAGATATATCAGCGTTACCTTAGGCAGACCCTCCACACTGTGCTCATTCATTTCACTGCTGGGATCGTGTGGATGCTGCATGTCTGATGCTGCTTACAGGAAGCTGCAGAGACAGTAACTGGAAAATGGCCACGTGTTTTACCAAAATCGTGTCAGCTGTGAAGAATAACAGTTTCTCTGCAGACATTTTACTTGATGAAATGTCTTTAATTTTAATATCAACAAATACATACGTTTTCTAATACACAACATTGTTCAGCTCCCTGCTCATAGAAAAACTACATTCCTGATCCTTACGTTTTATCATTGTTCGTCACTCTTAAAACAGCAGTTGTAAAACATTCTGAAAGTTGAGTTTGCACTCAAGGACAAATATCATTATTTGAAGCTGCACAAGACACCTGTATATATTGCTGGCCCCAAAGGGGCAGTGATATGTAGTCTGGTGTGCAGGAACTTTGGCACATTGGATAAATCTAGCAGGCTGCTCCTGGTCTTACATGTAAGCTAACAGGGTGAATATACAGTGTGTGAACAGGGGCAGTCTGTTGCATGCACATTTAGTAATAGCGTCTATAATGCACTTTAAAAAATCAGTCTCAGAGTGTGCTGTACAGAAAGGTTTGCTACCGTTTTCTTATAACTGCAAAAGCATTATTTTTTTTTAACTAGTGGAATCTAGTTGTAGTTTCATATTAGAAACATAACAGAACTTTCAAATCGTCTTCTTTTAACCCCGGGGTCAGCAGTCTGAATCTCTTTCTCTCTTCTTTCTCGTCCTACAAGAACCTGAAACAATGAAGACCATATGAATCTGTATCACAGATCACACACAGAATGAAATGCAGTGCATGTAGGACATTTAAGAAAATTCATTTCTACTTCGACGTTAAGAACAAAAGCAATTCTTTCTCTCAGTGAAGTGATAGTTTTGTAAAGATAATTTCTCTGTAAAATGTCTTTGTATCCTGGCATATTGAAATGCCAGCGGGATGTATTCAGTTCTGCAATTATTATGGTAATTTAAAAAAAGACAAGGGCTCAGAATTAGGTCCTTTTTTCTTTGGTGTTTTGTAGTTGCTAATGTATCTCCTGCAGAGAAAAAGGGTTGAATTGGTGTCTGTCAAATTATTGCAGTATTTTCTAGGGCACTGCATTACGTATCTGTCCTCCTCCTGGCAAATTGAACACCTGCCCTGAAGGCTTAGAAATAATTATTCAAGTGCTGTAATAGGGAACTTCCACATTTTATACTTTGTGAAATAATTTAAGAAGAATCTGCCTTTATTCTCTGTGTATTATTATCAGAGAGCACGTGTCTCTCTATGCGACTGATTCTCTTTGACTTGCGTTCTTTCTCTTCCTCCTGTTGTGCAAGTCTATGTTTGGTAAAGAAAAAGTCTTTGAATCTATCTATCTATCTATCTATCTATCTATCTATCTATTACCGATGAGCTGCACAGTATGTGATCAAGAGTTCCCACTAGTTGTGTGTGATGAATTCACACTTAAGATCCAAGAAAAGCACATGAATTAATCATTGTGACCCCTCACATTCTCCCTCACTTGTTCACTACAGCTTTCAATTGTTCCTTTCTTCTCTGTCTTCCTTTGATCCTTCTCCTCCTCTCTCACTGTGTTCACTGCAGACTTACCATTTACAGCAGTGAGCATGGCTTCTTCTTGACCTTGGTGGGCTGAGGGCAGAGCACGGCCCGGATGGCCTCATCAAACACAGTCTTCAGGCCACGCTGGGTCAAAGCTGAGCACTCCAGGTACTTCACTGCATCTATACATAAAAACAAGGGTAAACAGAAAAATACATATTAATAAAACTACACATAGAAACCTTATTACTAAGGAGAGTAGGCCAAAGTGAAAAAGCTGAAATTATAAGTCTGCACACTAACACTGTGTATGTATCAAGTATGTAAATAGCACCTTTTTAAACCATATTTGTAAGGAAATACTATATACAGGACATCCCATAGAGTTGGAATAATGAACAAAGCCATGAATCTGGCTGTGTGGTTATAGAGTATTCCAACAGTAGAGGCGGACATGAAGTTTGGAAGAAGAATAGGAATAAGAATAGAATCTTAATTTGATGGATTTCAACATCAGGAGATTGTCATGCCACATCTGAGACATTTTCTATGCATGGGTTTTCTGGCTGCAAAGTAAAGATTTCCCCTTTTATA